AGGATTATTCAGAAATTCTTAATTTTTTAGTAATGTGTCAATTGGATTGAAGTAAAATTTACTTCATTAAAATTTAATTAAGATTCAATTAATATTTCTATTTTTAATATTTCTTTAATATTTTTTTGATATTTTTTTAATTTTTTTATTATATATATATATATATATATATATATATATATATATAAGATTAATTTATGATTTTTTATATTTTTTTGTAAGTTCTTTAAAATTCTTTTAGAATTTAATTAAAGATTGATGAGCATTGTTTTAACTTAATTAGATTTTATTTAGGATTCTATTAGAGTTGTTAGAATCTTTTTATTATAAGTTTCATTTTATTTTGAATGAAATTATTGGTGTATTTTCAAACAAACTTTATAAAATATGACAATATCCTTAACTGTTTTTGAAATCTTTTAATCCATGATAGTCTAGACTTTCTTAGGATCCAATATAAGGTTTTCATTTGAAATGATGTATCTTATAAAATCAACTTAAGTAGTGTAATTTTTTTTTATCTTGGCATATAATCCTATATTTCTAAGGTTTTGTAGTATGCAATAAATATGAAGTTCATATTCTTCTATATTCTTAGAATAGATTAAAATATTATTTAGATAACAAACAACAAAATCATCAAGAAACTCACAAAAGACATCATTCATTAGATATTGAAATTGATGCATTTGTGAATCCAAAAGGCATGACATTATATTTGAAATGTCCATACTTGATTGAAAATGAAATCTTCTATTCATCTCTTTCTTTAATGCATATCAAATTATATGCTCTTTGTAGATCTATTTTTCTATTGATCTTTGTTCAATTGAATAAATCAAAAATTCCTAAAATCAAAAGTAAAAGATACATATTCTTGATGGTGATCTTGTTGAGTCTTTAATAGTCCATATATATTTGCAAAGATCTATCTTTTTTCTTCACAAATAAGATAGAAGTTCCTATTAGAGATTTAAAATAGCATATAAAGTTCTTAGTTATATTTTTGTAAATATATTCTTTGAATGTAGTCAACTTATTTTACAATAAGCTATAGATTGATCTAAATAGTGATTGAGGTGAAACTTAATGATCAATAGAATAATCATATGAATGATGCTCTAAAAGAACAATTATATATTTTTTTTATAAAATATCTTGATAATTTTAGTACTACCTTAGAATGCTACTTAAAGTCTTTTTTTCCATCAAAAATAGGTGTGGCACATAGAGCAGAGTTGATGTTTCTTTTGTTGTATATATAAATTTTTTTATATTTATCAACAAGGATTTGATTGTATTAGACTTATAGTTTTTTATTCAACTAACATGATTTTTAAGATTACGAGAAGTCTAATCTATTTGAAGGTTATACTTTTTTAGCCATGATAATTCTAAAATAATTAGGTTGGATGGAAATCTAATAACATTGAATATGACTAAGCTATTATAATCTTTAGTTACCAGATTTAAAGAAAATATTTTATAGATAACATCTTTGGATAACAACAAATAACTATTTATGACTTCTACATATAAGAATTTATTTTTCTTGACTAAAAATAATTCTTATTTTTTAATAAAGGCTTTGTCTATAAAATAAATGACGCTCTCAAATCTAATAAGGCAAAGAATTTGTGATTTTTTGGTCCTAAACAAACTTCTATTGTAAAATAAGTTGAAGGATTTGAAGAAAGAATAAGACCTTTACTAGGTGTTATATAAGATTTCAACCACATTTTTACTTAGTTTTTTTTTTTTTTACTATATTATTGTCTTTCACAATCATGCTCCTTATTTTGTAGTTGCATTGTTTTTTTAGACAATATTGAGTAATGTGCTTTGATTTTCTATAATATAAGCATAAATCTTTTTGATAGTATGTAGTTTTTTTTTACTTAATAAGAGGCTTGAAATGTACTATATTAATTTGCATAGGTTCTAGTCTAGATGAATAAGCTTCTATAAACTTAGAGATTATTATCATGGCTTGATTTGTACACCTCCAACCAAATCTTTATTTTTGGCATCTTTCAAAGAGTCGATTTGTTGCATGCTATGGTTTTAGCAATAAATTATTCTAATAAATCTACTCTTAATTTTATAAATAATAAATCATTGATACTATTTTTTAATCCATATTAAAATTAATTGATAAGGGCTTTATCATTTCAATCTATATTGCAAGTAAGATTTTAGAATTCTTCATCAAATATGATAGTTGAATGTGATCCTTGTCACAAAGATATAAGCTTGATTTCTACTATCTTTTTTTGATTATTTTTCCTAAAAGTAATTGTAAACACTTCTAAAAATAAATTTAGATCATAAAAAAGACATGAATATTTTTCTATCAAAGTTGCAAACTAAAAAAGAACACTCTTAAAAAGAAGTGTATCTATGAATCCAACTTGAATAAATTTATTAAAGTATTGAGAAGAATACAACCTTAAATAGAGCTTTATTTGTTGTAGAAATCCTTGAAATTTTAATCTTCTTACATCAAACTTTTTAGGTATACTTATCCTTATTTTTTTATATTTAGAATAGCAAGACTTCATAGATTTAATTATAAGCTTGATCTACTTATTTCTTTCAATTGCTCAACTTTTTAGCATAGACTTTGACATTTTGTTGTTGATATGTTTCAAAGGTGTCAAAATACATCTATAATTGACATTAGAGATACATGAGAATTTCAACCTTAGAATGTTGATAAGCTCATGAAGATTTGCAATAGTTGCAAATTTATTCTCACTTCTACCAAGAGGCATCCATAATTTTTCTTTCTATAGACAATTCAAACAAATTTAAAAGTCAAATTAGAAGATGGTAATTTGCAACCTCTAATATCAAATAAAAGTTACTACAAAAAGTAGTAGTCTACTCTCTTTAAGGAAAACAATCAATATTAAAAAAACTAAAAGTAAGCTTAAAGATAGATAGTCCACAACCTTCAAAACACAACAATAGAAGTAGAATAATCTACTCATTTCTAATATAATACAATGACAATGACTTAGCACTCTTTTCAAAATTTTAAGGATATAAATCTCAAAAAATAAAAATCTCAATATACTCTCATGTCACTTAAAAAGACTAAAAAATCACTCAAAGATGATAATATATTGAAGTAGAATGCCTATTACCAAAAACAAAAAGATTAAAAAGTCTTGAAACAAGACTAAAGACTAGAAAGGCATTTATAAGAGCAAAGAAAGCTTCAATTTTGTCTCTATATATACTATCCAAGTAAGAGTTATGTGACAACATCCTATTGGTATACAACTTCTAATACATGTCCAATTTGCAAGACATATGTCTTAACTTGTAAAGCAAGTTTCTTATATGTGGGCCACATCATTAGCTTATATCACAAGCTACCTACTTCTACAACACATAGCGAACTTGTTGGCCAAGTTTCTAACCTACCAAGCAACTATGAATATGTATAAAATCAAATACGCATCTATGCAACTTTTGAGAAGCTTCAATACAAGATAATATCAAATCTATTTATATTTAATTTTTGCCTAGCTCTTCTTATCTAGACAAATACATAGGTTAGTGATATACGATATGGTTTAATATACTTGATGGTATAACATACTTTTATAAAGTAGTAAAATCTATTCTTTTATATATTGAATAATTAAAAAACATGTCTATGAATGTTAATAACAATTTAAAGATTTTAGATTGTGAACTAAATACATAGTAAAAATATAAATCAAGAAAAAAAAATTGAGAAGATATTAAAATAAAAATAAATAAAAATAAAAACTTTAAAAAAAAGATATAATTTTTTTAAAATATTGCTATAAACTTCTTGATAAAAAGCTACTATTAAGCCACTATGGACCTATAATCATGTTATATTGCTTTTAATGTACTAATGAATGGAAAAATATTAAAAAGTACAAGAAATTTGCTATATTTTGCAATATATGACCTAACGTGCATCAAACTTTTATACTATATATTACATTTGGCCAATTTTATAAGAATAAGTGGTTCATATAATCAAATATTCTTAATAAATTTGTTAGATGCTAATATTAATCTATAATGATTGTGATTTTATATATAACAAGACAAACATATTATTAAATATTTTTTTCAATGTTATATGCATTTTTATCTAATTGATTTGTGATAACCAAGAAAAAATTGATAAAATAAGAAGTGACATTTCAAAATACAAGTTTGAATTATTTTTTTTCAAACAAAAATATTGAAAAAAACTAACATAATTTATCTGCACCAATTCCACAACCCATTCCACTACAAACCTTTAACGTCGACTTTAACTTCTCATAATAGAAGCGAAATCTAGGATTAACGGAAATTTTGAAATGTTCGTTTAATCGCTACAAAACGTACACAGTCGCCGAGAATGCTAAATGTTGTCATCGGGAAGATACCCTAACCACAACGTTGTCGTCGTCGTCGCGAGCATGGAGATGGGGTTTGTCGCAGTTCGGAGGGGGAGGTGCAATAGAGCGGAGCTTTGAGCAATGGTGGCTGCTGCCGTGCAGAGCCGAGGCCCCCTTGAGCGGCGGAGAAAGAACGGCCAGAGATCTAGCCTCTCACCCGTACCACTGCCGCACTTCCAAAGTGATGTGCTGCGGGAACTTTACACCCCCCGCTTTTCTGCTTTCAATCCGTTTTGCGAACCTTGAATTGACGCACCCTTCCGTCGATGAATCTTTCTTCGTCCATCACGGTCGTGCAGCTCGGGTTCATGTCCCCCCCCCCCCTACATTTTCACAAAGAGCGGCTGCATGAAAGCCTTTTCGCTGTCCTGTACGTTTTGTTATGCTGCCGATGAGCACAAAAGATTGGAAGACACGGATACGATTGTTTCTCTAATTTTCTTTTTGTCTTGTCTTAGCGTCGCGTTGGTTGGCATTCATGAGCTTGCCATACTTCTATGTAATTTGCATTGGTCCACCTGAGTTTACTACAAAATGAAGAACCCTTTCGCACATTCATGTGTTTATCTCATTAATCTTTGCGATGGTTTGAAGTTTTTGAGGTTGTGCTTGAGACACTGAGGAAGTGTGACATTTTATTTTATTTTATTTTGTTTTTGTTTTCGCATATTCCTTTGACTACGTTCATAAGCTCGACAGAGACTTCTTGATCTTGTCTTCACTGATTGCGTTTAAATTAGCGCTGTGAGATTGATGGCGTTGCACCGGAGTTGTGCAACTTATTACTACGTGTTTATGTGTTGAATGCCTGTGTTCATGGTGCCGTAGTGGTGTGTGAAATCTGATAGATCTTAAGATAAGGTTTGACCAACGAGGTTACACATAGCGGTAGTGTTGCTTTTTTTCTGAAAGGATTCAGTTTTGCTTGTGGACTTGTGGGCATGCATCGGAGAGGGAGACCGGCCACCTACTTTTCTTTTTTGTTTTTCGCAGAGATTGGTCGTGCACGGAGACTCAGCCTGTGGACTTTGTGCTTTGACGTTCAAAAGTTTTATGCGAGATTTTGAATCCTCAACGGTACCCCAAGGCACAAATAGTTATCCAGTTCTAGTTGCGTTCAGCTGCAGTTCGAGAGCATATTTCAGGGCTGCATCCTGCAACTCCAATTTTACTTGTTACCGGTGCATCGGTGTAGCGAGAGACTACATCTATCGTACAAACAGTACACAACGACCACCTGAAGTGTACACTGACAAGAGAGAAGAGTAACTGTCTTACTGTGGAGTGTTAAGTGCCTCATTATATGGAGAGATGTGTAATCGCTCATTGGATTTCTAGTAGGAATAGATAGTCTCGGTTGTAAACTGACTGGGACTCAAGTGTTCACTAGTTACTGAATAGTTCGAGACTTGGACATTTACACTTTGGAGTTTGGTCCAGCTTCCCATAGTCCTCATGTGTGTTGACAATACGGCGATCTCCCCAGAAACTTGGAAACTTGAGTTGAGCTGTTCAGCTCATTCCGGCAAGCTTGCAATAATTGCTGCTCCCGTCAGGCACTTATAACAACTTCGTCTCATGAACTGGCCCTGAATACTTTCCCTACTGTGGTATAGTCCATGCTCACTTTGAACTGTGCTGTGGTGCACTTGGTACAGCCAAGCTGGTGAATTAAGTCACTGCACCAATGGTGTACTTGGAACAGCCAAATGGTTAGAAGGGACACAATTTTTTTTTGATTCGATGAGGTAATTGGGGAAACATAGCATATTTATTCCTAGATATCGATGATAATCGACCAAACTTTTCGTTGATGAGATGAACTACAGCTTGCTACTTACTTTCTGCCGAACCGATTGCAAATAACTCAAGCGTCCGAATTGAAGTTCTTCTTCCGCAAGATTGGGACCTGATCAGACAATATTGCGTGAAGTTGTTTCTTAGACCGTTAGAAGAACATCAGACTGTTTCTCCATTATCGTGATTGTTTTCTGCTAGAGGCCTTGTTCAGAAACAAGATTGGATTAGCAAAAGAAGCTGTGTCCGACTATCACAAAAAGGCAGGACCGCCGCATAAACCCTGCGGATCTAGTGTCCAATAAGTAACGAGCTGCTCATCATTACCAACGTGCTAGATTAAATGGAATCGCACTCTTCACTTTGGGCTTCGGCATTAAGCCACGACTAGTCGAGTTGGAGCAAACCATCTTTCAAGAAATAAATTTTGTCTCTTGGCTCGCACATCGCCCTCTGTTTTCAGATTGAGGCTACGACCGCACAATGCTAGAGGATAAAAATCCAGAGATCCAGCGGGGGACTTTCAAGGGCGACAGGAAGACCCACCATGCAAGTTGCAAGAGACGCTTACACATGAGAAATTGGAGCTCGTGGATCTTACTGTTGGTGGTCACCTTGTTCCTGCACATTCCTGGCTCCGCGATAAATTTAGATGGTAAGCTTCACAAAGGACCGATGTTTCGAATTCTTTCTAGGAATATGCCTGTTTTCGTAGTATTTCGTCGTCAATGGAGGAACTCATGCACCCGCTGACAAATCAAGAGTGACCTGTTTGTTGGGTTCAAATACTGTACTTATCATTCTGGGATTACATGTTGCTTGTGTATTCCGTTGCGGTCTTCATGTAAAAGTCGAATGAAATGCTCTCTATTGATGTACTCTAGTGCCTACTGCCCTTCTGAGCGTTAAATATGCTTAGAATTAATTAACAACTTTTATAACGAAAATTAGAAGGTCAGCCAGGCAACTGATAGTTGCGAATTCGATGTTTGTTCCTCAGGGGAAGCGTTAATATCCTTTAAGCGAGGCATTCAAAATGCCAATCTCTCCCTTTGGAGCTGGAATGAATCTCACTCTAATCCGTGTTTGTGGTCCGGTGTGACGTGTCTCCCTGGAAGTGACCGGGTTCACAGACTGTAAGTGTTTTTTTCAACGTGATGCGCATTCATCGTTTTTTCTATGTTCAACTAGACTTTCTTTGAAACATGGTCTAGTGTGTTTGTCATCCTTTTAGTGTACTTCCACAGAAGACTAAAGAACAATACGTGGTGAGAATTATTTCTTGAGTACAGAGAAAGTGGCCGAAAGCAAAGCCACTCATAGCTTTAATTTCAAATACTTTTAAGATTCCTTTCTATTTTGCATCTAATCGTACAGTTCGTCACTTGCAAACGTGCAGGAATATTCCTAACCTCAACTTGCGAGGATTTATATCCCCCGAGCTTGGGAAGCTCGACCAGCTACGCAGGCTGTAAGTACATAATCCGTATTCAATTTCTGCATCTACGCGAAGCAATTCCTATCTTCACTAGCAGGAGCTAAATAGGTGTTATTAGGATCTAGTTCTAGCCGATAAAATTATTCTCCTTTTCCTTGAGTCGTCATTTGGCTTTCTATGGTTGCAGTGGCCTTCACGAGAATAACCTGTATGGTTCGATTCCAAGGGAGATAAGCAACTGCACTAATCTAAGAGCATTGTAAGAACCCCTCTTTATTCGACCGCATGTGATTCCTCCAAAGCAGTGTCGGAAGTCTACCTAGCAAAGTATAATCTTTGATTCTGGCTGTTGGTACACATTGAACAAACTTACAGCGTGAGATTTGTACTTCTGGTTCAGATATTTGCGAGGGAATTTTCTTACAGGAAATATCCCTGAGGAGCTTGGAAACCTGCAGCGCCTAAAAATACTGTAAGTGGATTAAATTAACGGGCATGATTCTGTCCAGTTGGCATCACTCCTGTCGACAGTAATCCCTAAAAATCATTAATGCTCAAAGACGTTCTACTAATCAAGCGTTTCTACTTAAAGTTGTGTCTTTGCTTCAGAGGTTTTCCGCTTGAATTGAGACATTCCATTTTTCTGCACTTTGCCAGACATCACATCCTTGCAAATTAGTTTACTTATTACATGGGGAATATAGTAATGCTCATTTACTGATTCACTTATTTGTAATTGCAGTGACATTTCTAACAACGGATTGACGGGAAGCATTCCTGAGTCTTTCGGGCGCCTATCAGAGCTTTCTTTTCTGTAATCGCCACCTTCTCATGCTCTCATTCGCCCCGTTCTGCAATGTTTGATCCCCCACTACTCTAAGTTGTGCAGGCAGTGAGTATTAGAGGCCTTTTTGTTGATGTGGCCCTCTTTTGGATGCCTTTTCGAAGTGTATGCGGATTAATGGTGGGTTGAGTTCTTGTGTTACTTCATGGGTTTTGTTTGTTCTGATTCATGTAAGAAATCTGTGCAGAAATGTCTCAACCAATTTCCTGGTTGGGAACATACCCACATTTGGAGTTCTGGCAAAGTTTGGCGATTCCTCGTAAGCACTTCGAGATGTTGTGAGGCAAACATCTAGTTATTTATCCCGGTAGCCATCAATTTAAATTTGACTTCGGATCTTGCCGTGTGTTTATCTCCGAATTCATGCGATAATTATCGTTCCGCAGGTTCTCTTCGAATCCAGGTCTATGCGGGACCCAAATTGAAGTCGTGTGCCAGAGTATTCCTCACAGCAGTCCTACCAGTAATCATCCAAATACCTCAAAACTATTGTCACATCTAAGCGCACCAGCTCAATCTCCAGCTCTTGAATCACTGCGAGCAATCGGGCTGTTTTGCTGCATTGATCAACTATTTTAAGTGAAAGCGTGATCAATTTCGGCATTTCGGATGCAAAAAAAAATAATTCCCCTGATCCTGAATTTTGTTACTTGGTGTGATGAACTCCAGCATGGACGAGTGGTTCAACATTAGTTGGACGTTCTACTGATGATGCGAACAGTATTCTGATGAGTGCAATGGGCACCAGTGGCATTGCTCTCCTGGTGGCTCTCATCTGCTGTATTGCATTTCTCGTATTCAAGAAGCGTCGTAGTAATCTGCTCCAAGCTATTCAAGACAACAATCTCGATGGTCTTCTTTCTTCACTTAACTTCTGTATGTCTTTGTGTCTTGCTTGGGTTGTTGATCCACATGTAGCCGATGCGGTAAGCTGTAGTGAAATGGTATAATTGAGAGTCACAAGTCCCTTTCCTGTGTATCTTGGGTAATCACTTGTCACGTTCTGAAGCATATCTCGCCATTTATGAGCCGATTTCTTGGTTGCAAATTTTTCAGGTTACAAATTGGTAATGTTTCGGAGCGACTTGTCTTACACAACAGATGAGATTTATAAGAAGATAGAGAGCTTATGTGCTGTTGACATCATTGGATCCGGTAGTTTCGGGACTGCATACCGCTTAGTCATGGATGATGGTGGCATGTTTGCTGTCAAGAACATAGTAAAACAGGAGATGGGCTCTGAACGATTTTTCGAACGAGAATTGGAAATCCTAGGAAATTTGAAGCACCAAAATTTGGTGAACTTGTGTGGTTACTACATCTCAGCTTCCGCCAGACTCTTGATCTATGACTACTTAGCAGGGGGGAATCTTGAGGACAACTTACATGGTAGGTGCTTGTTAGTGGAAAAATGCTGCATGGAAGCATTGAAACAGTAAGCTCGGGATCTACATCTCGTGAATGTCAATTTTGATTGGCTAGAGTGTTTCTTTGCCGATGAAAAAGATTGCAGTCAAGTGTTTTTGAGCCGCTTGTTATTCTGTAAATATTTTCAAAGCTCCGTTGGAGAGGATCCCTTTTCATGAAGGTGATACCAAAGAGCGTCCCGATTCTGAAGTTTATTTTTGAGTGCCCTGGTGCAGAGAGGTCACTCACCAAGAAGCATCTAACCTGGAGCACACGAATGAGGATAGCGATTGGCTCAGCCCAAGGAATTGCATACATGCACCACGATTGCGTACCCGGAGTCATTCACCGGGGCATAAAGTCCAGCAACGTTCTTTTAGACAACAACATGGAGCCTCATGTGTCTGACTTTGGTTTAGCAAAGTTAGTGGAAGATGATTCGTCTCATGTAACAACGATTGTTGCAGGCACGTTTGGATATCTGGCACCAGGTAAAGTATCCGTATTCAGTTTCCAATATCGTGACTTTGAAAAGATAAATGTTTCAAGGTTATGTAAATATACATTGTTTGTAAGTATCTCAACTGTGTGATGGTCGCACAAACCGAAATTTTGTTACAATGTTTGCATTAAGACTCTCGTCAAGTGCTAATGAATGGACCCAAGCAACTGTGTACAGAGTACATGGAAAGTGGCGCAGCTACGGAGAAGGGCGACGTCTACAGTTTCGGTGTCATGCTGCTGGAGATGATTAGCGGCAAACGACCCACTGATGCCTTGCTGATGATGAAAGGATATAACTTAGTCACCTGGGTAAGCAGTCAACTATCCTCAGGGCTACTTCTGGATATTGAACGCGTCTTATGAAGTCATTTTCAGTTGTGTAATATCACATTTTGAGTAGTTAACATAAGAGATGATCGAGATAGATTAATTAAATAAATAAATAAATAAGTCAAATGCTTAATGAACTTACTGGAGTTCTCAGCAGTTGACCGAAGATGGACTAGTGGTATAGATCAACTTGTTCAAATGACTCTTTTTTCCCCTAATTACCTGTTTCTTATATTTTGTTCTTCCAGGCCACTTATTGCGTCAAAATGAATCAAGTAGAGGAGCTAGTTGAAGAGAGTTGCTTAGAAGAAATACCAACAGAGCAAATTGAGCCCATTATACAGATTGCTCTGCAGTGTGTTTCCCCTATTCCTGAGGACCGGCTCACAATGGACATGGTTGTGCAATTGCTCGAAATTCACAAACTTTCAAAATGTACAAGCGACGTCAGCAACTTCTATCACTCTCCAATTTCCGCCCCTGAAGATCGTGGGCGTTAAAGTGGATAGATTCTTCTCTTTGTATTATTTTACTGTACATCACCATTTCATGTATAAGCAACTCACAATACTGAAGAATTTTGAGCCTTGTGCAGCCTTTAATATGCAACTTAGAAGTTAGGATTTCAGTGCATTAAGAAATCATATTCTAGAATATTAGCTAATACTATTGGCCTAGCACAACTGTAGATAATCCTCAGTTGTGCACTCATTCAGCACATCTATGTATAACATGAAAGAAATTGAGAGTTTCTACAAAATAATAAAAAGAAAAGATTTGTTACATCAATTTTTTTCAGTAGATATAAATTGTAAATGATTAAAAAAAGCTATTAAATATAAATCTAAGATTTCTATATAAAATGAAAGATTACAATATTTTATTACTAATTTTGAATTTGAATTTTTAAAATGCATTCGAATTTGGTCAAGAGGCATGTTCAAACAAACAAAGTAGACAATTGGTATGGTTTGATCTTTCTAGGAAGTGATAGAATTTTATAGAAAAGACATTTACATAAAGTTAAGAAATCATTGAAGCAAATTACCACATTTTTGAAGAGATAGAGATGGATCTTGAATGGCTAATAGAATACTACAAATTAATTAATTAACTAATTGAGTTTTATTTTAATTATGTGGCATATGAAAGTGTTGGATAGTGGTGTTATCATTCTCATACTATATATTGATTCATAGAAATTAAGATAAGAGTACACCTTTATTTTTTGCATATTATATACTAACTCCTAAATCTACCTTCTAAAATAAAATATTTATAATGTAAAATATATGTTTGACTTCTTCTAATTTAAACAATGAATTAAAATTTTGTGCCAAAAATATATATATATATATATATATGCATATATAAATAGGAAATTGTTAAATTGACCTAAGCATTTACCAAATCAACCCACCCTTGCTAATCATCATCAAAAAAAATCCATTACCAGATCCACACTCGTTAAAAACCAATGAAAAAAATAGTTGGATCCTCAATCCAATGATGATGGGTGGATCCATTTAGTAAACACTTGGGTCAAGTTAACAAATCAAAATGTAAAATGTACTGGAAGTGGGCATTTGCACATACAACGTTCAATTCCGTTCTTACAAAGTATATAGACTGAAGGTATCCAAAGGGCTCACCCAGTGTAGGGATAGAGAAAAGGGAGCCTATTGTTATGGCAATCATAAATCAGTACAGTGATTGAACGTCCCCGTTCCATTCGTGGGTCAGAGTAACAAAGACACAGGTCAGTGCATTCAGTTGTTGTCCTTCACTGTTTTATCAAAAAAGTGACAAAACCTAGTTGATTGTTGAGTCACCACAATTCAACTATAAAACGGTCATAGAGCCCGTTGGAGTTTGCCAGCCAAATAGGTGCTTTTAGGACACGACAAATTAAGCAATTGCTAAGAATACACCAGATCGGAGTTAGAAAGCTGGTGCTCATAAAATTGTGGGAAGGACGACCGAACTGCCAGGCCTGTTAGCATATGTTACACCACCCATGTTTCCCGCCACTTCTCTGGCGCCAAATTCGAACGTTCAAATTTGCCGCCTCAGCCGCGCCGGCGGCGACCAACGGTCCTCTCTACATGAATCTGGGCTTCTCCACCCGTTTTCATTGACGACCGAAGCGATCTTTCGACCGCCGGTCGCCTAGAGCGCGGGGATTTGTCAAGGAAGCCCACTCGGAGGGTCTCTAAATCCCTGCCTCCGCTTAATGCTTCGGCAAATCAGTCGTACATTTCCAGCCCCCGGCAGGTGAAACTTCGTACTTTTGCACTGTCCATACTTTGTTCTACATTCTGAAGCGGTGGGTTTCGCAAGCGGAGCATCGTCGAGGAGGTGGGTGGGGGTTATGTACGCTTGATGTTTGAAGTTGCGACTGTGATAGGAGAATAAGTGAGGAGTGTTGTGTTGTGGGTATCCTTCGTTTGCGATGATCCTATCTGGATCGCAGGGTGGTCTACTATAGGTCTTCGCCTGTGTTGCTTCTCATGTTTCGGTCTATGGATTCCTGGGTTTCCGAGCCCACTATCTAAGGAGCGCTGTCCTCTCAGTGCAACTATTGCTTCATGAACATGTAGCCCCCCCCCCCCCCCTCCAGTAGTGCGACTACCACCTTTTAATATTGTTTCCCAACTCTTTGTACAGAGTTTATTTGTTTTTTTTGTTTGTTTGTTTTTTTTTTGTTTTTTTGTTTTTTTTGGTTTTTCGTCCTTTTTCCTTCATAGGTTCTAATTTTGAAGCTTAATTTCCATACCATGTCAACTGTTTGAAATTCAAGAATCTTCTTTTTAATTTTTCTTTCCGTTTTTGTTAGCACTTCTTAGTTTATAGCCGATACTTGGTCGTACCAACTGGAAATTGACGAAATACTTTTGGGTTGCAGAGGTAAAATGCCTTCTATGATAGCCTTAGATCAGAAGGAGCCAATTTTGGTGGAGAATCCCAATCGCTTCACTATGTTTCCCATCAAGTATCCTCAAGTCTGGGAAATGTACAAGAAAGCTGAAGCTTCTTTCTGGACAGGTAAATTCAAATCTTTCCAGTATACAAGAAGATTGTTTATATCTGACAGGTTGCCAGTGCATTGGAAAGTTTGTCCCACAATGCGTTGCCAGCCCGTATGCCTCTTCATCGAGAAGTTTCAGATTCGTTTCAACAAGCTGTCCAGTAAGCAATGGTCACCAATAGCTCGGTACCGTTGTATAGGATAGAGCCTGCAGATGTGAACATGCAAGAACTGAATTTTTTCGGTGTTTGCACACAGCGGAGGAAGTGGATTTGTCAGCAGATTCTAAACACTGGGAAACACTGACCGACGATGAACGACACTTTATCAGCCACGTGCTGGCGTTCTTTGCAGCCTCGGATGGAATTGTGCTTGAAAATTTGGCTGTGCGGTTCATGAAAGAGATTCAGATCCCTGAGGTGAGGTTCACTTCTGTATGGGTTCTGATTAATGTCCCGGATTACCACACGAGCACTTCCTCCTACCTGTTGTCCTTCCTATTGCTCACTGTAATGGCCAACTTGTATGTGCAGGCCAGAGCGTTCTACGGATTCCAGATAGCTATTGAGAACATTCACTCAGAAATGTACAGTTTGTTGTTGGAGGCGTACATTAAAGATCAAGCTGAGAAGAGCAGACTTTTCAATGCCATTGAGACCATACCTTGCGTTGCTAGGAAGGCTGACTGGGCTCTAAAATGGATCGACAGTGCTGGGAGCTTTGCAGAGAGAATCCTGGCTTTCGCCTGCGTCGAGGGGATTTTCTTTTCAGGGAGTTTTTGCGCCATCTTTTGGCTCAAGAAGAGAGGTCTTATGCCAGGGCTTACGTTTTCCAACGAACTCATCTCACGAGATGAGGGCCTGCACTGCGATTTTGCATGCCTGCTGTACACGTGAGTTGCAATTAACCAAATGTCGCACGCTGGTCATAACAGATTTGGTGCTATTTGGTTTCGCCTAGCAGAATGTGATGTTTGCAGTGGCTCCCACGGAGAAGACTCACATTGAGGTCAGTTGGTTTCAGGCTGTTGATCAACAAACTCTCTGAAGAGAGAGTGTATGAGATCGTGTGTGAAGCTGTGGAAATTGAACGTGAGTTCGTGTGTGAGGCTCTGTCCTGCGATCTTGTCGGCATGAACAAAATTTTGATGAGCGAATACATAGACTTTGTTGCGGATCGTTTGCTGGTACGACACACAAACATCCTCTTCGCAAACTCACCTTCACTTTGACTTCGGTACCCACTGTTACATTTGTCAATTTGGCTCATCTCTCTGTTATTACCTTGCAGGTGTCTCTTGGATATAGGAAAAAATATAACGCTCTCAATCCTTTCGACTGGATGGAGCTAATCTCATTACAGTAAGTTAGCTGTGATGCTGATTTTCTTTCCTCGAACGTTTTGGTTATTCATACTTTTCCTGTTCAGAGTCAACGGTCGAAGCAAAGCCTTTAATGCGGATCTCACTATTGTTTTGCAGGGGAAAGACTAATTTCTTTGAGAAGAGAGTGGGAGAATATCAGAAGGCCTCAGTTATGTCTAATCTGAATGGTGGTGACACAAACAATCATGTATTTCGACTGGATGAAGACTTTTGATTGCCAGCCTCCGCTGACATTGTACAGATTTGGCCACTTGGGAGACGTGTAGCAACTTTTTGAAGGCGGATTCTTTCAGATTTGGCCAAGCCAACATGTAGTTCGCGTAAGTGAGCTAGTGAAATTAGGTTTGTGAATGTCAACGTCCTTGTACAATATTGGATTTTTACATGACGTTTCGCTTGGACCGCAGTACTGTAACTCAAAATTCAGCCTGTTGAAATCTCAGTCTGTTTCGACTCAGAACATTGTCTTCGATTTTTACTTGCATGTGAATTGTTTATACTTAAACTACAGTGATGCGAATTTAAATTATAAACGCGAAATGTCTAATTTTATCAAAGCCCATTCGAGGTTAGACTGAATGTTTTACTCGAAATGTCTAACCATGACCGAGAATGAGCTTAAATACCTAATCTCATCAAATCTGTACATATCTTCAAATCTACAGATTATTTCTTTGTTCCCATGAATAATAATATCGCGATATTTATAAACTTAATCGCATGCAAATCCCCTCAAGTGAAAAATGCTAACTTTCATGCTCTGCCATTAGTGTCCAGAGTGGAGGGACAATTATAAAAGTAATAGGCAGGCAAGGGAAGATATAAATACTGGCCTCAAAATATCTATGGCCGAACAATTGGAGTGACCAGCATAAAAACTGCGATGCTGCTACAATCTTCATCCACAACCTCAGGTTAAAAGACATGAGTGTTGATGTTGGAAGAAACATACTGCATCCAAAGAGAGAGTGTAAACTACTTCACCTTCCACCCAGAGGCGAAGGGGATCTGCTGAGCCACGGCGTTCGCTCCTATCCAACAGAATATCACCAGCAGAGCTGCCCACGACCCCAACTTGGGCTTAATGATGATGTAAAACAACACATATACAGACTCAGCGACAAAGCTCCAATTGAACATCATGTACTCATGAAAAGGTAGAGCAGCTATGAAAGGAAATTGTGGCGTCAGAGGCTTCGTGTAAGCCAACATAATACCAAGAGTGAGCAAGATTGGCCAAACAAATAACTTGTGCATCAGGACGTTGATCTTGTGGTTATGGTATGCGGCACAGAATGCGAAGTTCTTCTCGAGGTCGAAGTTTCCACTGCCTCCCATGGTTACGACACCGATGTTTCAAACTTCCAAGTCCAGTCCAGGATAGAGGTGACAGATCTGGTGTGCGTTGTTTATGACCCAGTCGACCCACAAGAGCCTGAAGTTTCTGCAACAGAAACTCAGCGCTGCAACGCAAAATCTTTGATACAATTAACTCCTGCCAGCACGCTGAGTATGAGCTCTGGAGCACTAATCAGCAACACCGAGCATGCACACAAACAAGCCGGGAACAACACGCTGTGCTTAGATTGTGAGGCCTTGTGTGAAGTTTTATAGAGTTCCCCTGCGCTTCCACATTAATGAGGATGGTCATGGCAGCATGCATCGTTCTGCAAGAAAACTTGTAAACAAAGCTCACAGAGTATGGACTAGAGCCCTGTCCGACGTGCAACTGATGACGACTAGCTTGAGAAGTTGACTCATGATGGGGGGAAACTGGCTGTTAATACAGAACTGTATTGCATTGTTGGCACTGCCAAAATTGGAATGTGGATGAAGAGTGGTGATGCACGTACACCGAATTCTAACCTGATGATATTGAACAAGTAGAGTGTGCTGTGGAATGTGAAAGATGATGTAAAGATTAGTTGAGATGAAACTGGTTTCCGCATTATGTTGGTGTCACAGTGAGGTGAATGACTCCCCACTCCCCACCCACAGCATTCATTCCATCTGGTCTGTACAAACAGGCCCATCTTTTTCCCAAACAAACCACAAAGAAAACATGGATTAATCTTGTGCTGAGCAGGCACTATGTTGGAAAAATCAATGTGTCATCTCATCTGTGTCACTGCTTCAGCGCTTTGTTGTCCTGAGGGTCGTTCTTGTCTTGAAGACGGCATTGTTGTGCTTCGAATCGGTACTCTGCACACACATTGTGTCGGTAAGTTACTGAACGCAACTACTTGCTTCTCAGATATTCACCAGCATTTTTACTTTTTAATTTAATTCATTTATTATTATGATTTGATTTGATTTTTGACTTCTTTTCATGGAGTCCCTACTTGGATGATGCCGGAATTTGTGTGTTTGGTATAATCACGACTTCAACAAAGTCAGTGTGTAATTTGTCATGTGCAGTCAATACCCACCCTGAGATCTATGAAGAACATGGATGAATTGCATACTGAAAACGCTACTTGGCACTCAATTTCCTATAAATTCAACAGAGGAAGTTTATGATAAGTATTGACCCTGGTTGGAGAGACAAATGAGCATTTAACAACATTATAATATTGACTCCAAGTAATGCTCTCCTTGTAACATAGTATATCTATTTTTCATGTAAACGGATAGTTTTTATTTAGATCATACAATCCTAAAAATTCATTACACAAAAGATTCTCTCTATTTTTATTACAATAAAAAAACATTCCTTTGAAATTTATAAAAAAAAATCCAATAAGAATCAACTTTCATATTTGGCATTGTTAAAAATGAATATTGAAGATAAATTTGACATTTGTGTTTAATTAAATTAAATTTTGATAAATCCAAATTATCAAAATTTTCTTGCTTAATTTGGATGCACAACCTAGTGCAAGAAAAGATACCAAGTGTGAACATTATTATCTTTGGTAAAAAAAACTCATCAAGAATTTTTTTTCCAAAATTATCATTTTTATCTATATATTAGCATATGATGTTAGACTTGGTAGCTTGGTTCAAACTTTAGATGCCTATACCACAAACTCCTACTTTAATTATCTAAAGTAGCTTCTATGATATTTTTTTAACTCATTTAGTATATAAATTTATGTGTAAAGGTGAGTTTTGTCTTCTTCAATCAATTAATTTAGTCAATTGTAGATAAAAAAAAAAGATGAACCTCTTTATATGTTAAAAAAACACCTGTATATTGGTATAAGGGCATATTATAAAGTATACACATATTATTATTAATCATCAATTAATTAATATATTTTTTCTTATTTATAAATAATTTCTATCTCTCTTATATAATATGGTTTCAAAGTGATGGATAGGCCATATGCATAATTCCTCACCATATTAAAGCACTAGAGACTTGTTCCTTGAGGAACTAATATAACTTGTTATTTGATTTATCTCCAGACAATGTAGTAAACTATGCCAACATATACTAATTTTGATAATTTTTTTCAAATACAACAAATAACTTCTTCAATTCTTATTCATACATATATAATCACAACTTGAATTACTACTAACTACACCATATGGAATATAAAAATTAAAATACTACTTATAAGATCTTAGCTTTAAACTATTGTTGATATCATAAAGATAATATCTCTTAAGTTAGATATTCCCAATTAAACATCATGACAATTTAAAGACTCAAAAATATATCTTAATATACTATTACACTGTAGACATAAACAATTAATCACACTACATCCATTCAAAATCTCAAAAGAAATCTAAGACCAACACAAACAACTCTATGAGAGATCAAATATTGGCACTTAAGTCATCCTTTATTAATAACTTATTTTTATGACTATAACTAATTTTGAAGATATTGTCACTTTTTAGAGATATGACAATCTACTTTTTGGTATCTAAATGCACAAGCTAGTCACAACATGATCCCAAATTGGTCACTTCTACATAATTTTTAAGAATTATATATGCCTTTGATTATCATTTTGAGTGACCATAGAATTCATTAAGCCACTGACTTTGGTATTTTTTTTATTTTGCTTCACAACATGTAAAACCTACTTCATCAAAAAAATCCCCTTTGTTTTTATTTTAAGCAAAACTTAATTATGCATCATTCAAAGCACAATGACAAGATATAGTATTTTCATCTTCAAAAAGAACTATTGTTTCATTAATACTAAATCATCTTCTTTAAAAGTAAAAATATAATATTTCATTTAAAAAAAGATAATCTATATTTATTGAGAAATAGCATTATATCCTCTCTATTTATTATTTTGGTATTACCTTATCTAAGTTGGACCTTGGTGCAATTACTTGGCATCAATGCCTAGGTCAATAAACATTTGATTACTCTATTCTATGTAATTTAATAATATGGATGTTATAATTCTACCAATAAAATCCATCTTTTTTACATATAAAAGTTGTATCTTCAAAAAATATCATAAATCTTTGTATCTTAAAGATTTTTTAACTCTTACAAGTAAACTATTGATTTTATTACATACCAATTTCTTTGCCTCTATATGTATAAAATATTTAATAAATTATTTTATTTCATCTTCTTTATTAATAAAAACTCCAATTATACTTACGTCTATTTTTTACAAAAAAAATTACTACCCTTGATTTTTTTTAATAATAAAAATTAATATTTAAAAATCAAATAAATAAAAAACTATTAATTTTTAGAATAGACATGGCAAAAAAATAATTCTAAAGATATTAACATGTTTTATTTGAATCATAATAATAAACATCAATAAGATAATTGTCACAATCCATCTAAAAATCAAAAATCAAAAGGCAATAATACAACACACATATGATTTAATGTCATAGATAAAATTACCACTAATAATTACCTAAATAAGAAAAATTAGGTAGAAGTAAATAAAAATAAGTAAATAATATAATATAGTTCTTAAAAGTTTTATAGACATGGATTTGACTATATATGTTGTCATGTTGTAATATGACTATATGGCAAAAATATAATCAAAAATAAATTTTTAATTAATATTTAATCATCTTGATTCAATAATAAATCAAGATATATAAACTTGGCTTTTATAAAAGCATCTTAGTTTATTTTCTTATCTTAATAGCTAATAGATTGAAGGTTGGTTAGTAATTTTATCTTTTAGGATGTAGAAATTTATTTATTTCTTTGAAAAGGCTATAAATTTATAAAACTTGGTTAAAAGAGATAAATAATTAGCATAGTTGATACTAAGGTTGGATTAAAAAATTCCTAGAATAGGTTAGATTCGTATCTCAAGATCAATTGTTTGTAGGATAAGGTCGAAATTAGACCTCTAGTTATTGAAATGACCACCTAAGGCAAAGTAAGGAGGCATTTGAAGATCAACAATTAGAATTGGTGATCTAGCTTTAAATTGATTCCAAAGAAGCAAGGCTTGTTTTCAGAGGGTTTGAAATGACTTTGCAATTATTGTTCAAAATTAGAGTTTATATCAATAATTTGGAATTTATACAATACAATTAGAGCTAGCTTTCTTAGCTAGTTCATATAATTGGTATCATATCTATAGTGAAAAATTTGATAATGCTTGGTTGATTGGATATGCAAAGTTTTTGTAAAATTTTATATTCATCTAATGGTGCAATTAAGAGATATTTGGATTTTGGTACAAGAAGATATTAGAGGTTGGTAGTTTAGGATTGAATAGGATTTCTATGATATCTAAAGATATATTAGTTGGATCAAGAGGAAATTTGGCATGATATTAGAAAACTTCAAGATTAAGCTATATATCAATTTTGAATTAAAGTTAATGGTTGAAAAAAGAAAAAATTGCTAAAAAAATAAAATATATATTTTTAATAGATACAATAAATACTTAAGCACTATAGATTAACATTCATATCAACCAAAGATTTATTGTGTCTTTTTTAATACAAACGTAATTTTATCCAAAGACACTATCTTATCCAACTCTAGTATATTCTTGCTGCTACTAAAATTTAACAAAAATCTCAATTAGTCATATATAATTATTGATAATAATCTCACTTTAGTCTAATTATCAAGGATATGAAACTTAAAAAAAGAAAATCCTTAATACTCTCTTGTATCATTGAAAGGAACTAGAAAGTCACTCAATGATGATATAATATTGAACTAGAATGGCTATTGCTCAAAACAAAAAGACTAGAAAGTCTTGAAACAAGACTAAAGACTAGACATGCATTGACAAGAGTAAAGAAGGCTTTACTCTTGCCTCTGTATATATTTTTTACTAGGAGATACATGGTAATATCTTATAAGACTTCCAAAACATATTGACTTTGTAAAACACATATATTAATTTGTAAGGCAAGTTTTTTATATGTAAGCCACATAATTAGCTTTTTCTATAAGCTATCAATATGTTATTAACTTTTTGACTAATTTTCTAATCTACTAATCAACTACAAACACATGTAAAGTCAAAGCATCATCTATAAAGTTTGGAAGTTTTTTTAGAAGATATTATAAAATTAATCTATTTTTATCTTTTTTTACCTACTTCTATCTAATCATATAGGTATTCATTAGAGTACCTATATATATCTAAGATATTATCCCTCATTCTAGAGAGAAGTTCCACAAGGAGCAGTCTTCATATGTTGAAGAAATTTAAGATGTGACAAATTATATTTGCCACATATTTTGAACTTTATTCTCTTTGAAGATAGTTGGTAGGTCTTCTTAGCCAATAATAGTATTTTATATTAGAATAAGAAGACTATCATATTATTTGATCATTGTTGAGGCCTTCATAACTTCTTTCAAATAAAATATTTGAAACACAGTCACGACTTGTTTCTACCTTTAATAAAATTACAAAATATTAAGAGTCTCTTCTAAAGTCATAATACCAAATACATTGTATCTTGCCATCTATTTGATGAAAGACATGTCATTCTTAAGGATCTTCATCTCAATTTTATCATCTTAAAGATTATAAAAATTAGAATATTTTTTCTAATAAGTCCGTAAATGAAAGCTCTTGAATTGAATC